GGGAACAGCAGAACCATGGTTACCCTGCCAGGTGTGTAGCTGAATTTCATTGAATTTTGGATTACATGCAGCAGGCTTCAACACACGCACAAAGGGACTGCTCAAATTGTGCGTGTCTTTTTTAAATAACATTTTAAAGACGTATTTTATCTTATTTTTTAAAGATTTATTTGAAAAAGAGAGAGAGAAAAAGAGAGAGCATGGGTGAAGGGAAGGGCAGAGGGAGAGGGAGAGAGGCAGACTCCCAGCTGAGTGTGGAGCCCAAAGCAGGGCTCCATCCCTTGACCCTGAGATCTTGACCTGAGCCGAAGTCAAGAGTCATACGCTGCATGCTTAACCGACTGAGCCACCCAAGTGCCCCAAACTGTGCACGTTCTATTATTATGCATCTAAAAGCCGAATTGTACAGAGAAACTTAGTCTCTAAAACAAAGGTATAGGGACGCCTGGGTGGCTCAGTTGGTTAAGCATCTGCCTTCAGTTCAGGTCATGATCCCAGGGCCCTGGGATCGAGTCCGACGTTGCGCTCCTTGCTCAGCAGGGAGTCTGTTTCTCTGTCTGCCTGCCACTCCCTCTGCTTGTGCGCTCTCTCTCTGACAAATAAATGAATAAAATCTTAAAAAGTAAAAAATAAAAAATAAAGTTATAACTGTAAAATAAAAGTTGAACTCTTCTATAATTATTAATATAAACTCTACCTGCTATAGCCTACAGTATAGACCTTGAGAAGACAAGTTCTTAGAAGGCCAGCACTGCTTGCCTGACATTGCCTACCACAGTTCCAGGCACAGGAATACATGTGACTCACTGGCCTTGAGTTTAGTTTCTGTTGTCTGGCCTGTGTGTCCTTGGACCTCAACACTGGGGCCTGACAGTGGTGAGAGGGAAGTTAAATCATGCAGTAGGTCACAACTGGATCCTACTCAAATGAACAAAGTACTTATGCCAAGTATTCTTTGGGGTACTGTTGGGGACTATAAATGATTAAGGACATCATCTTTGACCTCAAGCATTTTGTAATCGTATTGGGAAATAAGGCCCATGCATAAATAGTAATAATCACAGTGGACTCCAAAGGAGAAGGTGGAACTTGGGGGAAAGATAAAACTGGGGAAAGAATCCAGAGATCAGGTGCCTGGTGTGGAAGCCCAGAGGGCGTTCAGGGAGCAGTGGGCTCTGACACTGATTTGTCCAGGCTCACCTCCAGCCAGAGCCTTCCCCACCTTCCATTCATCTGACCTTCGCTCCCTGCATCTTCTCACAGGATGTGTTGCTCGCAGACCTCACTCATGTTCACTCCTCTTTACCTGGCCTTTCTGCCTTGCATCGGTCCTTCGACCTGGAATGCTGCTTGCACCTGTCAACCCAGATAAGTCCTCCTCATTGTTCATGTCCTGCTTTAAATTCTTTCTCATTTCTACAGCTTCCCATCCCCTAACGCATGGTATTAAACGAAGAGGCCGCTTTGAGGCAAACAGATTTGAGTGACGGAAGGCAGAAAGGGCCACAGTGAGCACCTGGCTGACTACAGACAGGCCCCTCAGACGCCCCACCTCAAAATAGCCATAGGCCCTAGCTAACCAATGGGCGACTTCCAACTCGGCCCCGTTGCCTAAATGGGAAGAGTTCCTACATCCCTATACCTCCTCAGCTTTCCTCTTTAAAAACAACCCCCCACCCACGGCCTCAGTCTCTCCTCCGCTGTCCCGCCCACCACTCCCTCGTGGTGTATTCAATAAACTTTGATCTCCTTGGTTCTGCCTCAGGTGAATTCTTTCAGCGCCTGCGCATCTGACGGACAGACACCCCATTTAGGCACCCCATTAAAGTCAGGCGGTTATCCATCTGTCACCCAAACTGTAACCTCTTTGAGGGAGGATATCTCATTTCTTTCATCTCTACATTCCCATCACCTGGCCCAGTGCCTAGCAGGTACTAGGTGCTCTAGAAATGCTTTCTGAGCCAAATTATTGCATAGCGAGTGGTGTCTTTTGGCTAGCTCTGGGTTAAAACATAAAGTTAAAGAGAAATAGGCCTGAACGACCTGCCTTCCTTTCTGGCCCTACGTATCTGAGGTGCTTAGCATCTGTTATGGGCTGAACCCCCAAAATTCCTATGTTGAAGTCCCAACCTCCAGCACCTCAGAATGTACCTAACTGCATTTGGAGAGAAGGTCTTAAAAGAAGTGATTAAGTTAAAATAAGGCCATTAGGGTGAGGCCCTAATCTCTTCTTACAAGAAGAGAAAAAAACACCAGGGGTTATGTATGCACAGAGGGACAACCATATAAGGACAAAGCAGCAAGAAGACCACCATCTAGAAGACCAGGAGAGAGGCCTCATAGGAAACCAAATCTAGCACCACCTTGATCTTGGACTTTCAAGCCTCCAGAATTGTGAGAAAATAAATGTCCTTTGTTTAAGCCACCCAGTCTATGGTATTTTGTTACGGCAGCCCTAGCAGATTAAGACAGCATCTTTACTTCATGAATAAACTCAGACACGGTGTCATATGCCAGGCACTCTTCTAAGCTCTTTATAGACATTTAAACATTTAAACACCTTTCCACCAGTGCCAGCAAATCACCAGTGAATTCTCAACGGGTAGGAGGGAAGAAGAGTACACCCGCTTCTCTGGTGGGAGCTGGGGATTCAAAATCACTACTGGGGGCGGAAAACACCCTAAAGAGGTATGTCAGGTGAGAATCACAGGTGGTGATGGTGGAGATTAAAATCAGTAACAATAGGAAAATAACAGCTACCAGTAATTGAGCACTGGGTTCAGAAAAGGTAAGCTAGTTGCCCAGCTGTTAAGGAGAATCAGAATTCAGACCCAGATCTTTGCCTTTCTCCACTTGGCACACTGCCTGGAAGTAGACTGGGATTACTTGGCTGGGGCAGGAGGTGGGGGGAGCAGGTGGAGGGAAAGGGTTGAGCAGGAGACCCACTGAGCTTGCTCTCTATGCAGGAGGAGATCAGTGGGGAGCAGGAAGGTAAAAAAATTTTAGAAAAGGTAGTAGGGAAAATCTAAGGAGCTTCATTGCATGTGCAAAACCAATAGTTCTTTATTTAGCTCCTCCAACACACCAGCCATTAAGCTTGAGACTCACGACAGCTCTGAGAGGCAGATATTTTTGTATTCTCATTTTATAGACATGGAAACTGGAGCTCAGAAAAGCTAAGAGACCTGCCTGAAGTTCAAGTTAAGTGGCAGAACCGGAGCGGCAGACCTGGGAGGCTCCCACTCCTGCCCCCGCCCAGCTCCTCCATTCTGCTTCGGCAGGCATATCTACAGCTTCTGCACAAACGCGGCACATTTGGCCAGTGAATGCAGGAGGGCCTCCGGGCTGTGAACGGACAAGTTACATATCCTATCATGGCCTTTACAAGATGCAGCCTGAAGTATTAACAGTGCAGCTGCTGCCCAAGAAGGTTCCAAGGAGCCTTAGTGTCCCAAGATGTGCCATGGAAAAAGTTCTCGGCTCAGGAAAGCTTTGTGGAAGTGCTGCCTGTTATCCCTCTCCTGCCTTGGAGACTTAACAGTGCACACTGGCAGATTCTAAAGGTTCTGGGATTAAAAAAAAAAAAAAAAAGTCGGGCGCCTGGGTGGCTCAGCCGTTAAGCGTCTGCCTGTTAAGCGTCTGCCTTCGGCTCAGGTCATGATCCCAGGGTCCTCGGATCGAGCCCCGCATGGGGCTCCCTGCTCAGCGGGAAGCCTGCTTCTCCCTCTCCCCCTCCCTCTGCTTGTGTTCCCTCTCTCGCTGTGTCTCTCTCTGTCAGATAAATAAATAAAAAATCTTTAAAAAAAAAGTCCATTTCCTTCACTGAGGCTAAAGTCTCCCCAATCTATTTGAACCCCAGACTCCGTGCAGTGCCCTTTCAGAGATGCTGCAACACAGGACTTAAGAAGAGGCAGAAAGATAAGCAGGCTAAAGCTACTTTTGGAAACATTAACTAAAATGCAGGCTTTTTTCTTAAGAATGACAAAGTCCTTTGATATTTACATTTAGTTTGCTTTCTACTGAGAGAATAAACAGTTTAAAAAACCAGAAAAAAAAAAATCAGAGGTAATAAAGCAGACAAGGGAATTTGAGACTTGCATTCTCCAATCTATTTGGCTCCGCGTCTTGTTTCCGCCCCAACCCCATTCCATTCTCCGGATTTCCACCCACCCTCCCCTCTTTGGGGCTGCTCTCCAGCTACACACACCTGGAAGTGACCACGACTTGCACTGCTCGGTGTCCCCCAGCTCCAGCCCTCACCGTGCAGAAGCAATGACAGGGAGGCATCAGCCCCTCCGCCCACAGTGCAGCTGGAGCTGACAGATTTCAGAGAAACAATGGAGTGATCTGATACAACGATCGCTTTGCCCTGAGTTACTCTTAAAGACATTCCCATGGCGGGAGGTGTGGCGGTGGGGGGCGGTGAGATGGCCAACATGTCCTTTAAAATTTCCGGATTGTGAGTGCTGTGATTTTTTCTATTTCTCTTTTTGCTTATTTTCGGTTTCTAATTTTCTACAATGAATATGCAGCACTTGCGTTACAAAGGAGGAGGGGGGAGAGGAGGAGAGAGCCAGAGCAGGAGGAGCAGGGGGAGGGAAGGAGCGGGGAGGGCTGGGGGCGAGGGAGAGGAGGACAGAGAGGGGTAAACTGGAGAACTGGGGAGGGGAAGGGGACACGGGTGGGGAGCCCTTGGGGGGGAGGAGGAGGACAGAGGGAAAAAGGCTAACGCGAGAAGGGGAAGGGAGGGAGTGGAAGCGGGAGGAAGAGGAAGAAGGATGAGGAGGGAGGGAGAAGGCGGGCGGAAAAGGGGGAAATAAATCCTAAAATCTCCGGAGGAGACTGCACAAACTCACCTAATAAAACACACCAGTGTCTCCCAGCACCTTCAGGGTACAAGTCCCGACCCGCGAGGTTCCCATTTGCAACAACCCTTTTCCCGTTGCCCCTTAACCAAAGCAACGCTCAGACAATCCGGCGCGGCGGCGCTTTCTCCTTACCCACTCGAAAGATCAAATCGTCTTCGATGGGATTCTCTTTTCGTTTCCCAGTGCTGTACATGCTGGCGGGTCTCTTCACCGCTTTCTGCTTTACATGGCCGCTTCCAGGCGATTTCACGCGCCTCTTCACGCCCTCGGTGGTGGGAGACACGTCGGCCGACCGGATCACTTTCAGCTTGAACGGGCTGCCTCGGATGTGCTGGTCATAGAGTCGCAGAGAGAGGGTAAAGTCCCCTTCCTTCTGGACAGTGTACAAAAACTCATAGGTGCCGTTTTTGTTGTCGAGGATTTCTCCGTCCGCCACGCTGCCGTCGGGCGTGCTCAGCTCGGCGGTGATGTAGGCGTTGCCCGTCTTGCACAGCTCGCCGTCTTTGTCCTTGGTCGTTATGGTAACGGACATGGGCTGCCCGATGATGGTCTGCCGCAGCCCCTCACCAGTGGCCACCGTCTCGGAGGCGACGGCGTTGGTGGTTAAAATCGTCCCGAGGTTGTGGATGGACTTCTTGAGCCCTTCGGTCTCCACGATAAAATCCAGCTGATCGTTTTCACGCGGGTGCAGCGGGAAATCCTGGTCGGCCAGTTCGTTCAGCTTCTCGCTCATCTGCTTCTTCACCAGCAGCACCTCCGTCTCCGTGCCATGGTTGAGGGCCTGCGCCGTGAAGTTGCTGCAGCTCTTTATACTCTCCTGCCCCTCGAGCAGAGTATCCAGCTGCGACTGAAGGACCTGCGCGGGGGGGGGGGGGGAGGTCGGGTGAGCACTTGCTGCGGCGCACGAGCCCAGCCCATGGGACGTTGCGCGCCGGCGCGCGGGGGCACTGCCCTACGCGGGCCACAACCGGGTCCTGCACCTGCCCACACGGTTGGCTCTCCGCAGGTGGTATTTAATTCGGCCCAGCGAACCCGCTTCTAAGGCATGCTTCTGAACTGCACTCCCGGTACCTCCTCTTTCCCTTCCGCCTCTCCCACACTGTCCCACACGCATATTTCTTGGGTCAGGTGTTTTTGATGGGGCGAGCAGAAACGTCACCACCAAGAGCCTGGAAAACAAATTGCTATGCCCGGCATCTGAAACACTCATTATTCAGTATCTCTCCATAACGTCCCAAATTCCCCTGTTGCCAACTAAAGGAACAGAAACCAGACAAATGAAAACTCTCCACACCCAAATAGCAGAAGCTTTTGATCCCTGGTTTTGTGATTGGACATGTTAAAGGCTGCAGTCAGGGTTCTCTTTGAAGTTGACTAACAGGTTGTCGTGGATGAGAGAGCAATTAAGAGACTATTAGACATTATAATTGAAGGAAAATAATCCAGCTTAACCCTAAATCCTGAAAACATTACTTTATATTCAATCTTGTCTTATGTCAAATTATTAATTGGTCCTTATGGTTACAGAATCACAGAACTTTGCTGAAAAGAGGAAGGAAAAAAAACAGCTGGATGGGCCATTAAATGAAAATTACTGTTGGGGCACCTGGGTGGCTCAGTCGGTTAAGCATTGGCCTTCAGCTCAGGTCATGATCCTGGGGTCCTGGGATCGAGTCCTGCATTGGGGTCCCTGCCCAACACAGAGCCTGCTTCTCTCTCTCCCTCTGCCCCTCCCCACCCTGTTCTGCTTGTTCTCTCTCTCTCTCTAAAATAAATAAAGTGTTAGAAAACTGCTTACTACGCAACAGTGACACTTAAGGACCCATCTGAGTCCCCTTTGTGGTATTAGAACACAGTAAGCTAGTGCAGTGAAGTGCCCAGGATACCATGTCTCTTACAGGGTATTTATGAGAATGGCTGGAATCTTACTTTATGTTTGAGGCCATAGTTGACTTCTAGTTCCATAAGCAGCACGCTTTTGCGCACGTTTAGAGTCTTCTGGAGCTCATCAAAGGTAGAATGGATGTCATCCACAATGCTGGCCTTCTGGTTGGTTAACTGATGAATGATTTCTGAGATGAACTGAAGGGCAGAATCTATTTCTGGGAGCCTGGAGGACAGTCGTTAAAGATCATTATTTAACATCAACCCAGAAATAGTGAAACATCTGTCTAAACACTATGTTTTGTCAAAAAACATTTTCCTTGCCTTTCATCATCTTCAAAAAAGTAATAACTGAAGAACAGAATGAATAAGACATGACATAATTATTGCCTTTGAGAGAAGAGATTTTGAGGGTCCACGTCTACTTCATCTAATCAATCATCTAATTTTAATAATTGATGCTACAAAGCCTTGAGGCTCTCTGAACACCATGGCTTCTCCTCACTCTGAAGCAAGCCTTCTCGAACTTGACACTATAATATTGTAGGCCACATGCTGCTTTGTTGCAGGGGACTATCCTGTGTGTTGTAGGATGTTTAACAGCATCCTGTCTTCTGCCAGATGCCAACAGCACTCCCACACACAATCGTGACACCAAACTCTCTCCAGGCGCCAACAGCACTCCCACACACAATCGTGACACCAAACTCTCTCCAGGCAATGCCAAATGTCTCCCGGGGTATTATTGCCCATAATTGAGAACGATTGTTCTAAATAAACACTGTATCTTTTCACCTAATCATATGAAAAACTTATCCAGACTCTGAGTTTCCTGGGAACGTTTTGCAAGCTTCCCAGTTCCTTTAATTATTATAGAATAACCACACTTTTCTCACTACAACTATTGGTGACAATTTATTTTCTGCTGATTGTTTATTTCCTCTCTTTGATCTTTCTCATGTATCACACAGCTACTCTATCCCCTCATTTCTATGCCAAAGAGAAAGGCTGGAAACAGGGAGACATAAGGAAAATTGAGCAATCACTGATCGGCACCATTTTGCTGGGCTCAAACAGAGATGAGCCAGTGACGGTGAACACAATGGTCCTGTATATGTCAAGAAGAGCAGCTAAGAATAGCTCCTCAGAGAGCCTGGTTTCAGGCACGAATTTCAGAGATCTCCTGAGAGCATTTTCCTTGAATGTATTTTATTCATTTAATCATTCAAAGGCCCTAAAACAAAAATGCCACCACTCATAACATAAGGGGGTTGGAATTTTACCAAGGGGCAAGGGATGACCCTTAACACTCACTAGTTTATGACTACAGACACACCATCAAAGAAGAATTTATTTAGGTAGTGTGAACCTATTATCCCACTGAGGCAAGAGATCCGGAGGCCAAGCCTCACGCACAGCCAGTCGGGAGTCTGGGGTAGGTGTGTGCACCTTTTGTTGACGGCGTCCAGCTGGACTTGAAGCGAGGCCTTGTGTTGCTCCACCACATCCTTGAGGGGGACTGTGGGGTGTTCCGCATGCTCCCCCTCAGTGCACTCCCGACACATGGCAGTCTCGCAAGACTGGCAGTAAAAGTCCATCACCTGCGGGTAACACAAAAACAATGCCAGGTTCAATGCCACTAATCGAGTGCTTACTATGCGCTAGGTCTTTAATAGACATTCTCTCATGGAATTCTCATGGCTTTCCCAGGATGTAGGCAGTATGTCCAGTGTCACAGAAGAAAAGGAAGGGATAAACTGTTCTGTGCAGGTCTCAAACAGAGGTGGGTCAGACTCCAAAGCTGCTGCTGTCGTCACAAAACCAGCTTTTCTGTGGCTACTGCCCTAGAACAGAAGAGTGTGGAGCTGTGGTGCTCAAACCGTTTGGTCTTAGGACACTTTTCCACCCTTTATAAATTCCTGAGGACTCCAAAGTGCTTTTATGTATGTGAATTGTATCTATAGATACTTATATGAAAAATTGAAACAAAAATTTTAAATATTTATTAATTTATTAAAAGCAAGAATAAGCCCATTAAATGTTAACATGAATAATACAATTCATGAAAGATAACTATTTTGCAAAACAAAAAAATGCTGTGAGAAGAATGGCATTGTTTTCCATTTCTAAAATTTTCTTCAGGGTCTGGCTTAATAGAAGGCAGCTGGATTCTCATATCTGCTTCTGTGTTCAATCTGTTGTGATAGCACAGATCATATTGTCTCTGGAAAATTGCACTGTATACTCTTGAGAGAATGAGGGTGAAAAAAGGCATTTAATGTCTTAGTATTATTATAAATATAGTTTTGGTCTATGGACTGCCCTCCCCACAAAGGGTCTTGGGACCCATGAGGGTTCCTGGACCACACTTTGAGAACTCATACTCTTTCTATAAGAGATAAGCAGTACTGAGCTCTACCACTTAGGTAACCTCACTGTGTCTCAAATTTTCCTCTGTCAAATAAAGATGGTAAGAGTAACCTACTTCATAGGGCTGCTTTGAGAATTCAGTAGGTTAATATGCACGAAGAAACAGATGATGCTTGGTACTGGCATGATGAAGCAGCAGCAATGATGATGATGATGATGATGAAGTTGATGATATCATCTGCTTACATGAAAATAAAGCCACCTTATCCTGATTATGATGAACTCTCAGTAGCAATATAACATAAAGGCTGAAAGTCAGTTTCCCAGTGAAGGCATTCCCCTATTCTCTCAGCTGAAAATAACTTCTTCCAATTTTGAATTCCCAAAGTACTTCCTGGAGGGAACTTTGTCTTGAAGTATAACACACATACAGAAAAAGGCATAAATCTTACTAAAGATTGGTGGATTTTCACAAAGTGAAGGCTCCCACCAAAGCACTTTTATTTATACCCCATTTTATGAAATATTTATAAGATTTTAAGTTCCTGAGAAAGGAACTCTCTTACCCAGAGCCTAGGTAATTGCTTGCACAAAATAAGTTTTCAAAAACTGCTCTTTGAATGAACTGTATGCTGTCTATAAGAGTCTCATTTTAGAGTCAAAGACACAAATAGATTGAAATTAAAAGGTGAAAAAAGATATTCCATGCAAATAGTAATCAAAGGAGAACGGGAATGGGGTGCCTGGGTGGCTCAGTCGGTTAAGCGTTGGACTCTTGATCTCAGCTCAGGTCATGATCTCAGGGTTGTGAGATGGAGTCCCAGGTCAGTGGGTTCTGAGCTAGGTGTGGAGCCGGGTTAGGATTCTCTCTCTCTCCCTCTCCTTCTGCCCCTCCCTGCCCCCCCCCAAAAAAAACAAAAAACAGAAAGAGAAAGAACTGGAGTGGCTATTCTAATATCAGACAAAATAGACTTTAAGACAAAAGCTGTTACAACAGATAAAGAAGGACATTATATAGTGAGATGATAAATTCATCAAGAAGATATAACATTTACAAGCAAATATGTACCCAACAACAGAGCCCCAAAATATATGAAGCAAAAACTGACAGAATTGAAGGGAGAAATGAACATTCAACAATAGCTGGAGACTTCAATACCATACTTTCATTAATGATAGAACACTTAGATGGAAGATCAATAAAGAAATACAGAATTTGAACACTATAAACCAACTAGGCCTAACAGACATATATAGAACACTCTATTCAATAACAGAACACACATTTTTGTCAAGTACACTTGGAAAGTTCTCCAGAATAGACCATATATTGGGTCACAAAAGTCTTGATAAATTTAAGATTAAAGTCATACAAGTATCTTCTCTGGCCACAAGGGAATTAAATTAGAAATATGTAACAGAAGGAAATCTGGAAAATTAAATAACTTACTCTTGAACAATGAGTAAAAGAAGAAATCACAAGGGAAATTAGAATATACTTTGAGATGAGTAAAAATGAAAACCCAATATACCAAAACTTATCAGAGACAGCAGTCAGAGCAGAATTTTAGCTATAAATGCCTACTTTAAAAAGAAGAAAGATCTCAAATCAGTAGTCTAAGTTTCAACCATAAAGAACTAGAAAAAGAAGAACAAATTAAAACCAAAGCAAGAAGAAAAAAGAAAGTAACAGAGATGAAAGTGGAGATAAATAAAATAGAAAATAGAAACACAGTAGAGAGAATCAATGAAACCAAAAGTTGGTTCTTTGTAAAGATCAACAACATTGACAAATAGGATACTAGGGACAGTCGTATGCCAATGAACTGAATAACATAGATAAAATGGACAAATTCTTAGAAACACACAAACTACCAAAACTGACCCAAAAAAGAAATAGAAAATCTGAATAGACAGTATTCAAAAAACTTCCAACAGAGAAAAGTTCAGGACCAGATGGCTTCACTGATGAATTCTACCAAACATTTATTTTTTTTTAAGATTTTATTTATGTATTTGACAGAGAGACAGCGAGAGAGGGAACACAAGCAGGGGGAGTGGGAGAGGGAGAAGCAGGCTTCCTGCGGAGCAGGGAGCTCAGTGCGGGGCTCGATCCCGGGACCCTGGGATCATTACCTCAGCCCAAGGCAGACGCTTAACGACTGAGCCACCCAGGCGCCCCTCCACCAAACATTTAAAGAAGAATTAACACCAATCCTTCCAAACTCTTCAAAAAATAGTGGATGAGGGAACATATCCTAATTTATTCTATTAGGCCAGCAACCCCCAACACCAAAGCCAAAGCCATCACAAGAAAAGAAAAGTTCATATCCCTTATGAATATAGAGGCAAAAATCCTTAATAAAATACTAGTAAACTGAATCAAGCTGCATATTAAAAGGATTATACAGTATGGACAAGTGGAGTTTATCCCAGGACTGCAAAGGTGGTTCACATACAAAAATCAGTATATGTAGCTGCTGACTCTTGGTCTTAAAACCTTGTTTTGTCATGTGTTATTTCAACTGTAAACTCATATTTGTTGGAACGCTACCAATGGGAACCTTCTGAGGTTTCTGAAGGAGGTACATGCCTTTGGAAAGAATTTGCATTATTTTCTGGAGACAACTTGAAACATTGCCAGGTGTGGCCCTTTGTAGGGGTCCATCACTCCTCGCTCCAGAGAGTCTTCGTCCAGTTCTCTGTGTGTGGTCTCCATGCTAGGTGCCTGGGCTATAATTTTGAGCAGAAGGAAGGTTTGAGCAGAAGGGGTGTCTGATGGAGATCTGCTCCTGGAAATGATGTTAAACCTGAGACCCTACTGGGCTGCCATAACAACGTCCCACAAACTGGGTGGCTTAAAACAACAGAAATGCCTTCTCACACAGTTCTGGAGTCTGGCTAGAGGTCAACTGCTGTTTTTAACTTCCAACGTCCTCTAGGCCTCCATGTCTGAGAATATACCAGCCAACTCTTCAAAAAGGCAAAAGAAATTCTCCAAGTTTTCCTCACTAATGACCTCATGCAGCAGCTGAGTCCAAGGGTCAGCCCTTGCTGAGGACCTCGCTTAGAGACACTGGGACTGGCTCACCGAGGACTCTTGGCAAGAAGATACAAAATGACAAGTTTGGGGATTGAGGCAGACAAGTGAGGGGGTGAGCCACTAAGACCCAGAGGAACAGACAAAGGAGCCCACCAGGCAGAAAGAGCTGGAAGCAGACCTCAGACCTAGGACGGTGGCTTTTCTGCCCAGATGCTGAACTGCAGCAGGGGCCTCCTGTTCCCAAGGCTCTCTGCCGGCAGCTCTTGTGGGGACTTGATCAACCTGGAGGAAAGGAAGTGGGCTGTCTGGTCTGTGCCCGGCGCCCTTCCCAGACCTCAGTCCCTGCTCTGCAGCCCACACCCAGCCAGGGTTCATTGACGGCTCCTTGAGAAGAATCGTGCCGCCTAGAGGCCCGACGGCGGAAGTCCTCCTTCTACAAACCGGTCCAGGGCTTGAATTCCAATTCCCGCAGCCGACGTGGGGACCCCTCCCAGGCGGTGCTCGCGTCTGTGGTGGAATCTTCCATGAGGGGCTGCCTAACCTGAGAGCTACGGGGGCACGCTTGCTGAGCTAGAACAGAAGGAAATTCTTGAACAAGGGCTGGTGCCGAAGGAGAGAGTAGATGAGGAGGATCAGCAAAGAGAGACGGAAAGAGGGAAAGAGGAGCCGGGGTGACCATGGACTCTCACCAGACCTCTCATTCAAGGAGTATTTCTTTGAGCCAAAGAACCCTGTGCAAGGTGTGGTGATTTTATTTATTTGTCGAGAGAGAGCACAAGCAGGACGGAGAGGCGGAGAGAGAGAGTGGGAGAAGCAGCTTCCTGCTGAGCAGGGAGCCTGATGAGGGGCTCTATCCCGGGACCCTGGGATCATGACCTGAGCCGAAGGCAGATGCTTAATGACTGAGCCACCCAGGTGTCCCTTCATGAATGATTCTAATGCACGTCCTGGATAAGATGGGTTGCTTTACAAGGCTTCCCAGGAGTGGTTTAAGGGTTCCTGCCTTCAAAGACTCCAAGTGGAACTTCAACTAGAAATAGAGACTTACACCTGCTGTCACATCTCACTTGAAGGTTGAGAAAAAGAGGCCCAGAGAAGTCAGCAGCAGCATCCCCAGCTCACACAACGTCCTAGTGTCAAAGCCAGGGCCTCAACTTAGGTCTCTGAATGAATGGGACAGAAGGAAAG